ATCTGGTCTTTGTTTAGTTAATCAGCCATTGTCTTTCACTATTTTTAATATATCTTATGATATAAATTTATGTGACATATATATATGATGAAATATTAATAATGACGCATGATTTTTTATTGAATTTAATATCATTTCTAATAAATTACATAACACATTATATAATCTAATATAAAAATACTTATTTTTAACAAGATTGAAGAGTTTACTACTTTCCTAAAAACTATTATGCATTTTTGGTTACAAAGTTACGTTGTTTTCTTCCTAAATAATCTCTTAAATTTAAATAATCATTTGGTATGATTTCGTTTATTCTTGTAGACTGCTATATGCTATAATATCGTGTTTTTCATTTCATTAACAGTTAATAGGAGATTACAATCTAAGTATTATTACTAATATTCTCAAATCATTTGAGATTTTAAGTTAGTTTTAAAAGAAAATGATTATAATTTCTTTTGATATGAAAAAATCTTGGAAAATGAGTTTTTGGTTATTAAAAATTAATATTATGAAATTAATGAAAATGGTAACAATTCAATTAGGAAATTGTAAGCTCTTTTCAAAGGAGACTAAACTAGCCTTTCCACCGAAGACACAATCATATATTTCTTCCATTTTATCAAAAAACTCTTTTCTATTTTCTTCTATATTTTGACATTGGTCCTGGTCATCCTCATCTGATCTCATGTCTGTATCAAATAAGATTGTAGTTAATCCTTTTGTTCTAATTTAGCCATCTCTATAGTAATGGCCTCTAAAAGATTTCAATTCCTATTTATCCAGTTATTTGATTTGCTATTTTGATGCATTATTGCAGACTTTATGTGTAGCTGTAGATACTAAATCATATGAATTTAATTTCAACTTTGAAGTTTCAGGTTCAAGTGAATCTGGATTGATAATTTAAAGAGGATTGTTATTAGGGTTATTATGATTTATTTTTGGTCTATTTGTTATCATCATTTTTTTTTGTTTTTTTGATTAACATTGAATATTCTTCCCAATCTGATTTGGCTGCACACTCTTAAAATAAGTTGTACTTTGATTACCAATCATTTCCCCAAATTAATAATTCGTATATCTTTGATTATTTATTTTGATCAATTTAAGGAAACAATAATGGATGTCTACCTACCTAATCTGAATACAAATTGATGCTAATTTATTTTAATTCATTAACATAATCAAGAAAAAATTGAATCTTTTTGAATTCTCTTCTATTAATTACTTTATGATAATGTGAAAATCTAGCAATTCTTTCATCCTCATGATGTTCAGCATGTATTAGCAATAATTATTAAAACTTTTCAGCTGAGCGTTTCAATTCTTAAACCAAGTAATCATCCAGATACTTATTAATTTCTACAGCTCTCAATAGTATGTGGATTGAGACATAACCTATTCTGTTGTGAAATCTCTCCTAGCCTGATTGTCTGCATTTGACTTTCTTTGGATTCACATAGGGATTGACTCAAATAATTTAATGGCTGCTAATAGGAAATTACCAACCAATTTTCTATATTGATTGACATACAATCTATTTATAAATAATCGATTCTTACTTTTTACCGGTCTGTTTGAAGAACTCTTCGTTCCCTGCTTTGTGATGTCCTCGACATCTTACCCCAGTAGCATACAAGGCTTTCAGTTCACTTTTCGTTAAATCCTTCCTTATAATTGGTGAACATTTCCCATCTATGATAACAATATTTAATGACTTTTTTTTTAAATCGAATGTTTTTTAGACTTTGATTCCAGTCTATAATTCAAAAATACGAGCAACTTGAGTCCATACTTTTACACTTCTATACCTCCGTATGTATTCTACTATTTCAATTAATTTTCTCTATATTTCTTCATTATATTGATTTCTATGTCGACATAGATAAGCAAATACAAAGTACTAATTATAGTTATTGTGTCATCATCATAATATCAAAGGGTATATTCTACCTAAGTTGATTAGTAATTCAACCCTCAAGACACATATTATATATATTTTAAATCCGTTTTTATTAATATGTAAAAATTATGCATATTAGCACTGTTCTCAGTGATCGTGACAGCTCAAGAGAGCTTTCTTGAAAAATAGAAGCACATAAAATAGCAAAAGGATTTATCGTCAGAAATATATACAATTAAAAAAAAAGGATTACCTACATTTTTGGGGAGAAGTTCAGATGACTCAATCAAAGAATAGTTATCATCCCTCTTGAATTATGAGGAAGCTCTTAAATTAACACCCTCTGAAGCTGGTGAGCATACAATCAAATTCGTCGAATCAATGTTCATTATTGATTAACCAAATCCAAATGCAGTCAGAGCTACAGAGAAACCAGACTATCATCTTTTTGAGAATAGCGTATAATAGAAGAAAGTTTATAGCAATGAAAAAGTGACCACATTCTAAGATGGTTGTATTTATGTTTTTAGTGAATGCAATTTCAAGGGAGAACATGCAAAATCATGTCCAGGAGATAATGTGACATTCTTTGGATTACCTTTTGAAGTGCTATCCATTCATTTACCTGAAGGAGGATCATTGAGTCTAATCTAAGAAAATGGAACAACTGCCTACACAGTTACTAATAAATGTATGAGAAGCAGACCTATTGAATTCCTTTTTGTTGAAGGTGCAATTCAATAATCATTTGGAAATGGATAAATATACATAGACTAATGAAAATATTCATTAGAATTATCAATTTTATTTCATGAAATTCACTCTTGATGATCATCAATTTAAACAATTCTTGATTGCTAGATGTTGCTTTAAAGTATTTTTGATTTATTCAATTTTCTAATTTCCATAACTTACTATTTGACTTCATCCTTCACTGATTATTTCTCATTCTCGTATTTGCTATCAATAACATATCTTAATAATAGAATGTATGATTACCTCTCAAACTTTGTTTGTTTGTCCTCTTCTCTAAGTAGATGTTCATCATCAAATTCAGGAAGATAGGGATCTTCAATGTTGTTTTCATATCT